CTAAGAAATACAAGTTAATGATGTTATGAATATGTAAAAATACTAAAATCTGAAGATCTTCTTAATTAATGTATATCAAGTATGTTTCACCGAATGTACCGGTACATGGAAGATCAAACAAAAATACCAATGTTCACTTATTGCCGGAAATTATGTTTGGCAATAGGTTAAATAATCATCATCAGATTACAGAAAATAAGCTTAAAGCCTGAATATTTGAGGCAATAACTTAATGCCTAGGCATTAGCTTATTGACTAGGATTTAAGCTTAATGACTTATTTTACTTAAGAGCCTGTCCATGAGAAAAAAATGCAAAACATTCCGGATGCAACATTGTTCAATCTTTATGAAATCTTTTTTGTAGGGTAACTTTACCACATATATTGTAAATACATATAAATTTTTAGTCTGATTTATTTATCTTGGTGGTAGGGGGCGCCACCTTAAACTTTTCAATTTTCAGATGAAAAGCAATAGAAAATACACAAAATAAGCACGTTTTGAACAATATTTATTGTAATAATAAACATATTATCAACAAAAGTGGCTTCAAATGTAAAACATAATACAAGGACCTCTTCATAGCCATATCTGCCATAAAAAAAACTGAAGTTAGCCAAGGGCAGAAAACTCTGAAAATTTGGCAATTTTCCCAATTTCCTTTTTTCCCAAAAATGCACAAGTTCATAGGGTTCTATATACTAAGATAACACACTTTTATTTCTTTTGTTTTACTTTTTACAATTAGTCTAACTTATTACCATATTATATCTTTTGCTATGCATTTGTATATTAACAAAAATATTTGCAATCAAATGTACCCCCCCTTTTTAAAAAACTGAAAAATTTATAAAATTAGGCAACTTATGACGATTCAATAAAGCTAACAGCGACTTATTCAAAATGAACTCTGAAAGTAGGTTTTTACTCGAGATTATAAGAGAGACACATAAAATCGAATAATTCTTTTAAAATATCTTGATTGCTAAAGACATTTAAAAATCATTCTGTTTTCGATTGGAAAAAATTTTTAGCTTAAGGCAAAAACATTTAGATGAGACATTTTTGCAACAAATCAATTCTACCAGACATTATTATTTGGTCTACATAAAAATTAATAAAAAGTAGATCACAAAGAATTGATACGCATACACAGTTGTTAGAAAATAAAGTGTGGTGCTTTAAGATGATTGGAGGGAGGGTGTCTAAACATCATTTTCAGCATGTTGCAAACAAATCCTTTTTCTATGAAAGTATTTAAACAAATATTTCTGAATTATAAAACAGAAACATGAAGAGGTTAAGTTGTTGAAATGATCAGATTAAAATACAAAACTATTGTACTTATGTATTCACAGTTTTTGCTTTGCAATTGAATATTATCAAAAATATTTGCAATCAAATGCCCCCTCACCCTTTTTTTTAAACTGAAAAATTGAGAAAATGAAGCAACTATTGACAATTTGATAATGCAAAAAGTGACTCATTTTGAATGGACATTAACATTAGATTTTTATATGAGAAACGTAAAATCTAAAATTTATAAAAAATGAAAGGGAGCTCACTTCAACAGATATAAATAATTTGCCAAAGTTTCATGCAAACTGCTCAAAGTAGTTTTGAGTTATTGTTAGAAAACTGGGAAATCCCCTTTTTTGATGAATAAAACCTCTTAACTCGGAAACATAAAATCTAAAATTTATGAAAATCGAAAGGGAGCTTATGTCAATAGATATAAACAATTCACCAAGTTAAATGTAAATTGGTTAAAGTATTTTTGAGCTATTGTCTGACATGTTGACAACGGACGGACAGACGGACAGACAGACTGACAAAATGACGGACAGAAGTATACTATAATACGTCCCGTAAATGGGCATATAAAATTATCAAGTGATTCTTTACAATTTTCATAGAATATGGTGAATAACAATATCCTGGGTATGTTTACATCAATGGTTACATAGATTATCAGTTAATCCTTTTCAGTTGCCAAAGCAATATTGACCATGTCAGCATGGTACTGCAATGCATCTATAGCAGCTATGGCTTTTTGAAGATCTTCATCATATTTTGGTTTATTTCAGAGTAACGGTAAGCTGAATAGAATCTGTATTTGAGTTCTTTCTCACATAGTTTGAGGACAGATTTCTTATCTGTGATATGGAAGCAATTCTTCCAGTCTTAATACTTTTATCCCATCATTGTCTCTTTTAGTTTTTAATTCCTCTACTATATCCCCAAAGTTTGGTCATTTCCACGTTGCGTCAAAATATTGATGAATATAAGATATTTAGTCTTAGACTTTAGTTGAAAACCGTTTGGCTGATTTTGAAGTTTTCACATCCCAGCCTTCAATCCAACTATAGGCTTTTTTATTTGTTAAAGATTTGACGCAAACTATGACATTTATTCACTTTAAAAAACAAACACAAACTACGTAAATACAGCTTACCACTTAACCATTTTACGGTAAATTATTGACAATCCCTATTGGAAATTTTTTTTTAACTAACACCTTTGTGCTTTGACTTTTAAAATTAGTTAGAAAATTTTCCATTTGCTGATTGGATAGATATAATGAGATGCTTCTATAAAAAGAAAGTAGCACTATCTAAAATGAAGATAAAAAGTCGTACTCTCTATATTTTGATAAAATTCATGGATCTGGATTTGCAACATTCTCGTTCTTCGCACATACATTTAGAGGATATTGCACCAGAAATTGTTACGACGGACCAAGTTGATAAAGACAACCAACTTTTTACGGACAAACTATTTGCAGCCATTGCAAGAAAAAGAACCAAACTGGCTTCCATTCTTATTGAAGGGGGTGCAGAAGTGAACACTAAGCTTTCTTCTGGAAAAACACCGCTTATGGCCGTCTGCGATAGCATCGTCGATGAAACACAACAACATAAAAAGGAGAAGCTTATAGTTTGTCTTATAGGTAACGGAGCAAAAATAAATGCTGTTGACAATTCTCAAAGAACGGCTATGAATTATGCATGTGGATGTGGTGATACTGGCGTAATACAACTTTTAAAATCACGTGGTGCCACATATAACATCCGGGATGTAAACGGGAACTGAAAGTGAGAACAATCTTGCAAGTCCTAGTCGAAAGAGCTCTAAGGTGATCAGAGATAGTATTAACACTATGATTTACATCCCCACTGTAAATCGTTTTTGGTACTCGAGAGATTTTCTGGATGTTGTTCTGGAATTTTATATTTTTGTCAACCACACTATTATTTTTGTTCTCTCTTTTTCCCTTTTTCTAATTAATTTCTCGATGGATTTATTAAAGAACGTGTTTTTATTAATCGGATGAAAACCTGGAAATAGATGTATTTCTTTTATTTTTTTCTTCCCATAGAATGTTATCCCCATTTTAAAGGTCATTTTACCTCAGAAGTATTAAATCATTAAAACTTAACATCTCCAATTTACTAAGTACGATTTTTACAGCGGATGACCATGAGGTCATTCCGGTGTATTGCTATCGCCTAAATTTCCATTATGTAAATTAGTTTTGAGTTTTTAACCGATCTATAAACATGATAAATACGCCGACATCATCGAGCGCAAAATAACATTCCTTATCGCTTGCTATATATTCATTTCTTCAATGAATACTCATCAAATATTTTTTTTAGAACATAATTTAATAATATTAAAATGTTTTATATGTATGTAGGTAAAAATGATTAATATCTATGCAGACGTACAGAAAAATTGTGTTAACGCATGCGGAAGAATATCTCAAGAACGATTGCAATCTCCTATAAAGGAGGTGAAGATTATATACAGATACATGCAGAGTTATTGGTCCTTGCTCTCTCGTTTTGCGGGAAAATATGAATGCCTACTCAAATCCAATCTATAAGAAAAATCGAATTATTATAGAAGAGTGTCCACCATGCACTTGCACTGCACTGTTAATAATTAGTAGAATAGACTGATATACAAATGGATGAAAATTATATATACATGTAACTGTAATATATAAATATTAATATTAATATAAACCAGAGTATATTGATTAGTATCACTACAATACATATATATATATATATATATAATAGTTATTACGGTGATGTTGAATTCCCTTTCATTTATTTATCTTCCACACAAGAACTTGTCTCAGAAAAAAATACATCTGTACATTAACCTCACTTTCAGGTATAAATATGTGATTTTTTTTCTGAGACAAGTGCTTGTGACATCCACAATAACTTGCGGTCATCCGATGAACAGTACTTCAATATTTATCTATCCCCGCGTGAAATGTTCAGTTCTGTATGCTGTAATCAAAAGATACATAGATAATTAGCGTACTTTGTTATTTTTGATAAAAACTCAATAGTAACAAAAGACCTTCTGTTCATATTTGTTTGTGTCGTAAGGTTGCTGTCTTCTTGGCGTATAAAATAGAATTTTGTGCTAATATCATACAAGTGAGAGGTTTAGCTAACTATAAAACTTGGTTTATTACAATATTTTCTACATAAGGAAATTCCTGAACCAAGTCAGGAATATGACAGATGTTTTCCATTTTGTTTATGTGTTTGAGCTTTTGATTTTGCCATTTGATAAGAAAACTTTCTTTTGAAGCGTTTGTTCTCAATTCAAAACAAAAGAATATTTTAATTGATTATCATTCAGTAAAATTCCTTTAAATTATCAATCGTTGTTCCATATTTAACAACAATGTTGTACGTCATTCAACAATACATATTTAATACAAAAATACCGGCCGGTATCCGGTTTATAGGAGTGACCGGTTATATAAGGTAACATAACCCTTAAATTGAATACAAATTGGCCTAGACTTTCTTGATTTGGCCGGTATGAGGGGAGAACCGGTATTCAGAGGGACCTATTTAGAGAAGTTGCACTGTACAATTATAACGACCTAATGGACGACTAAAAACGGAAACAAGTAATATTGCTCCAAGTTTTACAGGGGTAAACTGATGCATTTTTCAACTGAATATCAATTCAATGACATGTTTTATTTATTTATCATAATGATATATAGGTTATAATATAATGTTTATGTTGTATGTTTAATAATAGACTAGTCTAATATCTGAAACATGTCCATTTTAAAAAAAAAAATTATCTAAATCTAGATCTATATCTTATTTAATTAACTACTTGCAATAAAAAAAAACTATCAATAGCACTTCAGGTCAAAATTTGAAATACGATTCATTTGCCTCACTCTTGGTACGGAATTATTGAGCATGTGCCGAATGGTGTATACCCAACAACAATTAAGTACACCGCTTTAAGGTATGACAAAAAGTACTCATTTATGATACGTTCGATCATTGTATTTACACTGGGGTATTTAGCTGAAATTTAATGACCCTAGATCTGTCTCCGAATAACCTCATGCCGTCATGCAACAATCATTTTTAGATTATAACGTCAAATGTTTTAAATTGTGATGCAAACTTCTACGGGAATTTGAGTGGTTTAAGCAATGGCCGACAAATGTGCATCCCTAGTAAATCAATTTGTATTTGACAATTTACTACATACATGTACAAAAATAGATACACAATTTACTACATGCATACGACACACTTAATGAAACATAAAATCATAGAAATCATAATTATAAACGGTGACTGTAAATGTATTGCATCACTGGTCAACTGTGCAATTACTGTAGCTACATCAGGTGATTCGATAATATGAATACCTGAAAAATAATTCAATAAATTAATTGAAATAATTCAATAAATTAATTGCCCGCTCTATGTTATTTTACCGAGTCAAAATATCAAATCCTACCAGTCAGTCAGAAAAAAAGTAACAAAAAACATCCATCCTTACATTTTGAGGCAATTTTTAACATCAAATTCACTCATTTGAATAATTTGATCAAGCATGTTGTTTGGATGTACAAGTACCCGGCCACGTCTACTTGTACATGTGTATGTGTATTATTTGTATTTTTATCCATCTGATGAGTTAAGCCTCTTTCAACTGATTTTTATAGTTCGTTCTTATGTTGTACTGTTACACTGTCCCAGGTTAGGGGGAGGGTTGGGATCCTGCTAACATGTTTAACCCCGCCACATTCTGTATGTATGTGCCTGTCCCAAGTCAGGAGCCTATAATTCAGTGGTTGTCGTTTGTTTATGTGTTACATATTTGTTTTTCGTTCATTTTTTGTACATACATTAGGCCGTTAGTTTTCTCGTTTGAATTGTTTTACATTGTCATTTCGGGGCCTTTTATAGCTGACTGTGCGATATGGGCTTTGCTCATTGTTGAAGGCCGTACGGTGACCCATAGTTGTTAATTTCTGTGTCATTTGGTCTCTTGTTGAGAGTTGTCTTATTGGCAATCATACCACATCTTCTTTTTTATAATGATGATAATGGCAGATAATTATTTTGAAAGCAAGTACACAATTTTTACAAGTGATTTTCTTTTTGAGACAAGTAAAATAGTATGGTCACTTGCTTAAAGTGCTAGTTATTTAAAAAGTTAATGTTAAAATCTATCTAAAAGTGTGTCATCGATATCAGAATAAGATAGTCGGATATAAAAGGCCTCGATATGTCAAAATTCAGTTCAAAAGAGAATACCTACGACTTGGTCGTTTATGAGAACATTAATTTCAGAATGACAAGGGCCGCTACAAATGTATAAATATACCCTGCGTGTTCTGTGTTATGTCATAACAGATGCCATTCATATTTGTTTAACATGCTGAAATTTACAATGAAATTCAACATTTGTCATAGTGCCGATCAGAACCTGCTAAAGTCAAATAAATTTCCATTTGTTTTCTTAGATATGAAAAAATATGAAAAAAATATCCGTCAATTGCTTAACCGTACAAATTGGATCAATGCATTCAATCTGTTTATTGTAAGGAACTACAAAAAGTACAACGCACTGTGATGATCTATATTCCGATTAGGAACATTCAATGGTATTGTAAAACTCGTGTGTTCACCGTAAAATATGCGTTTATTAATCACATAAAGCATTAATCAATTATAGGTTAGCATTTAACGTTACCTTTTATTTTCATATCAGCTACCGCAGAATCTCCTGTTGCCTTGGTAACTGGTCTTGTCGCATCTAATACAACGTATGTTTCATATCCTGCAGATGACAGAAAAAACGTACATTAGAATAAGTATTATAAAAATAAGAAGATGTGGTATGATTGCCAATAAGACAATCTCCAACAGAGACTAAATGACAAAGAAGTTTACAACTAATGGGCACAGTACGGCCTTCAACGATGAGCAAAATTATTACTGCATAGTCAGCTATAAAAGGCCCCGAAATTACAAATGTAAAATGATTCAAACGAGAAAACTAACAGCCTGATTTATGTCCAAAACTATGAACGAAAAAATGATATAAAGCAACAAACGACAAAAACTGAATCACAGGCTCCTGATTTGGGACAGGCACATACAGAAAGTGGCGGGATTAAAAATGTTTGAAGGGGCCTACCCTTTCCTAACCATTGGCTAGGTTATATCTAGTCTATACATGCTACTACATATAAATACACATGTAAGGTCTGTTAATATGCACATGTAACTACAAATGTAAGGTCATCTAGATCCTCCTCCATCAGAAAAAAAAAAAAGTGTTGAATACGCAAATACACAAAACATACACCAAAAAGGATCTAAACAGCACATTTGAAAACATCTTTATTAACAAATTTACATTTATATATACTACGAACTGTCCGTTCATTGTATTCTCCCCCTTATCGGTACATTAATCAGAAATGAAAATCACATATACCCAGTTGCTTAGCATCCATTGCTGTATAGTAAACACAGTAATCACGTGCCAGTCCTGTTATGATTATAGCCTCTATTCCGGCTTCCTGGAGCTTATCGTGCAATTCCGTATAACGGAAACCACCATTGTCGTAAAATGCAGAATAAGAATCTACCTAAAGAAACACAAGAAAAGCAGATGTATATTTGTTTTCGTGTTTCGCATGTTTTTGGTTGATTTTATTTTTCTATATTTCTTATATTTCATTTTTTTGTACGTTTACTGTTATTGTTGTGTTTATGTCTTACCATAAAAACTTGATACAAAATGTCATGAACATAATTTAGTTGTCTGTTTTCTGTCTCCTAACCAAATTGAAAATTGATGTCGAAAGCGACCTGTTTATAACATATGTATAGGAAGCATACAACAATTGTGATGTGGGAGTATGAGATTGCCAGCAAGATTTCAACTTTACAGATATAATACATTCCGTTTGTTCACATGTTTCGCCCTCATAAACGTGAGATTATGAGATTTGTTATGGATAAATTAGCACATACAACTTATAAAGTACTAACCTTACAGTTATATCCTTTTCTAATAACAATGTCAGATGGCTCTTGAGTTAAGCTGAGTGAAAAATTAGCTGATGAAGTGTTTATAACACAATGATCGGGCCATAGGTGTTGTGTAAGATTGTATGCCACTTCAGTGCAATTATTGTTTTCATCACATAGGGAACCTAGTTGAATATATAAAAAAGTATGAATAAATCGAAAGGCAATCTGAAATCACAAGTCGACGTAAACAAAACAACGAATTAGCACCAAAACAAAGAAAGATTTAAATACGAACAACTGTTATCACAGCTTTTTTTAGGGACTTGGGATTTATAGCTTGACATGCTGTATATAGACACATGTGTATCGATGTCGTTGAGTTGTCTTTGGGACTTGGGATGATGTATATAGACACATGTGTATCGATGTCGTTGGGTTGTTTTTTGGACTTGGGATGATGTATATAGACACATGTGTATCGATGTCGTTGGGTTGTTTTTTGGACTTGGGATGATGTATATAGACACATGTGTATCGATGTCGTTGGGTTGTTTTTGGGACTTGGGATGATGTATATAGACACATGTGTATCGATGTCGTTGGGTTGTTTTTGGGACTTGGGATGATGTATATAGACACATGTGGATCGATGTCGTTGAGTTGTCTTTGGGACTTGGGATGATGTACATAGACACATGTGTATCGATGTCGTTGGGTTGTTTTTGGGACTTGGGATGATGTATATAGACACATGTGTATCGATGTCGTTGGGTTGTTTTTTGGACTTGGGATGATGTATATAGACACATGTGTATCGATGTCGTTGGGTTGTTTTTGGGACTTGGAATGATGTATATAGACACATGTGTATCGATGTCGTTGGGTTGTTTTTGGGACTTGGGATGATGTATATAGACACATGTGTATCGATGTCGTTGGGTTGTTTTTGGGACTTGGGATTTATAGCTTGACATGCTGTATATAGACACATGTGTATCGATGTCGATTGTTTTATTGTGTCGTTGGGTTGCATGCTACTCTCTCATTGATTGATGCATACCCTATAATTCTATCTTTTACATCTTTTTCGTTTGTTTGCAAGGGAATCTTAGATGTCATACAATGACACGGTAGCATCCTGGATTCATTGATTGTTGATTACTTAACGTGCAGTGGCAAATATTTCATGCATATTCGGATTTATTGATTGCTGATCGCTTAAAGTCCAGTGGCAAACTTTTCATGCATATTCGGATTGATTGATTGCTGATTGTTTAAAGTCCAGTGGCAAATATTTCATGCATATTCGGATTGATTGATTTCTGATTGCTTAACGTCAATTGGCAAATATTTCATGCATATTCGGATTGATTAATTGCTGATTGCTGAAAGTCCAGTGGCAAATGTTTCATGCATATTCTGAATGATTGATTGCTGATTGCTTGAAGTCCAGTGGCAAATATTTCATGCATATTCGGATTGATTGATTTCTGATTGCTTAACATCAGTTGGCATATATTTCATGCATATTCTGATTGATTAATTGCTAATTGGTTAACGTCCATTGACAAAAAATCATCCTATTCAGAACGAATATGCATAAAAAATGTGCCACTGAATGTTAGGAAATCAGCAATAAATTCGGAATATGCATAAAATATTTGCCACTGGATGTAAAGCAATTAGTGATCAATCACTATCTTTCTTGACAGCTTTATCTGATAATTTTGTCAGGGAACATAAACTGTAATATTCCATAAAAAGGAGGAAAGGTACCAAGGGGCGACATATGTAAACAGTAACATTTTATACAAAGAACTGCATAGTGAGCTACATGAACTCCGTAAATTACCAGGCAGTGAACCAGAGAGTCAGCCAGCAAGTGCCCCGGAAGGGTTAGTCTGGAAATAAATAACATAATGAGATTATTGCTTTTAGATCAAACACAAGAAAAAACAGACATGTATATCTACATGTCTAAACTCGATTAAAAAAATATAATTTCTGCTACATGTACTTGAAGAAAAACCGCATATATTGAATTTTAAAATAAAACTGCTGAAATTAGGAAGGGCGGTTAAAAACGGAAATAGAATCTTCACAGTATAGTTAATAATGAGGAGAAATGTACAAGTACTTTGAGCATTTTAAGATTTTTAAGTATGGGACAATTAAAGGTTGAAGTATTAACGAAACAATTCACCATCACTCAAATTATAGGAAACACTTTGATAAAACTTTCTTCGTAAACATAAAACTGCCATTTATATTATTTAATCACCCCATCATGTCAAAAACATAACATTTTGCTGTCGAAAACAACACACAGGGTTCATATAATTATCTACTAGAATTATTTACTGCACCAGAACAGTGATAATCGTTTTCCTACGTGAAATATGGCAGCAAATGGTCAATTGAAATGTCGATCCTCTTTGAAATGAACATGTTCCTGTCCGAAGTCAGAAGTGGGTAAACTCAAGGATAGTCATGTTAGAACAGTGTGGCGCAATAATCTGGGTCACTGGCGCATGGGGAACGGACCCCCCTTTTTTCTAATTTTGTTGTTGTTGTGTTTTAATTTTTCAGTAAATATTCTGTTAAAGTTAACTTTCTTTCACTTATGTAATGTGTTCTTGCTCTTTTCCATACTATATTACAATAGCAGTAGTTAAAATTTTGACCCTCTTTTATTATTTTCCGTGTGGGCACAAGCAATATACTAGGCTATGATGCGTGTAATGTAAGGAGAAAAATAAAAAATGTACAAAGCAAGGTGCATATTCATATAACATTACCATTTTTCTCGTTTTTATATACATGTAATATGTGTCACTGGACGTTTAACATCAATCTAGCATTGTTGTTGAATCTTTTTTTAGGTTAGTTCAAAATACGATCAGACAATCCTGCTGCAGTCAACTCTCTTTTGTTTTTAGGGAGCTACCATTTGATTTTAATGTGGGGTGGGGCTAGGATGAAAAATTTTGTCTTGCATTTTTTTCAGTTGTAATCTCTGTCCTGCCTTTTTTTTTTATTAGTTTATCCTGACTTTTTTTTACATAAATTGTCATCCTGCCTTCTTTTTCTCAAAACTCCTGTCCTGCCTTTTTTCAAATTTCATCATAGCCCCCCCCCCCCCCCATAAATATCAAATGGTAGCGCCCTTAGGACGTACAATAATTTGACGATAGAAGTCGTATCTTAAAAAGGTTTTAACCGACATAGCTTGCTGTTCGGTGTGAGCCAATGCTCCGTGTTGAAGGCCGTACCTTGACCTATAATGGTTTACTTTTATAAATTGTAACTTGGATGGAGAGTTGTCTCGTTGGCACTTATACCACATCTTCCTATATCTATAAAAAAAAATACCAAGTGTCCCCTTGAAACCTTAATATAATTTTGTTCATTTCTCTCACTTCAAGAAATGTACCAACATGTTTCAGCCTCGAAAAACAGCGTTTGAAATACCATAGAAAATGCATTATATGATAAGAAATCAACATTTCTTTAGTCGTAACAGCGTTGGAGAGAATATAGTGAGAATTTTGCTCAGACCGGTGCTGAGGACCGTCTTTAAATTACAGTGCCCGTTTTTACTCTATTTTGAAGGCCTTAATCTGATTAAAATACAGTTCATGTGTCCACGCTTTGCATTTTAGGACGTAAAATTATTTGACGCTTGGATCCGTATCTGCAATGGATTTATAATTCGGATTCTAACATGACGTTCTTCATACGCTTTGAGTACACTCAATACATGAATATATTGTTTTGGCTGTTCCGATCGTACTCCAACGTCATATGCTTTTTTATGAATGAGCTACCCGACGTCATACAACGATGACGTAAGAATATGAGGATTTTACGGGAAAATACACGCATGTGAAACCGAAAATCATCACAACAAGGAAACGTAAACAAACGATGCTAAAATGTGTTATAATCCAATTTTTTTATACATATTAGACATATAAATAAAATTCATCCAAACCTATTTAATTACATTATTGTAAATAGTTTAAGCATGTCACTAATTCAGTTTGCTTCGTTCTTTTACGTCAATTGAATAGTGCGTTTGTTTATGGGAACGGCAAATATTTGCCTTCACCTAGAGCGCTTCGATCCAAAAGAATTGCCGTATTTGTCCTATTAGAATCGAAATAATTCACGAGGGCTAAATATATCGTGACTTTACCACGGGTTGTCCCTTTATGCCGTAAAGTGCCAACCCGTGGTAAAATCACGATATATTCAAGCCCCCATGAATTATTTCTTAAGTAGCGTGACGGATGTGAAGGAACGTTTTATTATTCCGGAGTTCATTTCCGGTTTTTTTGGTTTAGGGTTCGGCATTCCCAATGTTACTCTGAAGCGTTGAATGGACTGTTGTTTTTCTATTCTTTCTTTTTTTTTTTAGTCATTCTGTTATCTTTTTTCTTCGACTAGCAATTTTGGATTGCGTCCCTTTGTATCCTCATCCTCGTGTTGAATATGAACCTGATTAGAACCACAGTATCGTTCTTTTCCCTCACTTTAAGAAAGGTATCAAGATGTTTCAACATTGCAACACAGCATTTAGAAATACCATTGAAAGTTAACTAAATGATAATAACTAAAGGATTCATATAACTGTTACAGTCTACCAAGAAAATTTACTCAATCAAAGAGCAATGGTGAACTCAGTTACTTCGGATCAAGGATGATTGAGGGTTCATATTGTGATCTCGTGTTAAGGTGGTACCAAACACCTTGAATAAGATTATTTGGCTCGTTTAATTTTCATAAAATGTTGACAAAATATTTACTCTGACCCTTTGACAAAAATATAAAAATTTCAAAAAACTTCAACCACACACTTCATCGGAAAATTTTCATTGGATATATAGCAGTTTGAGAAACACTCATTTTGATCATTGAGAAGCTTGATATTTCCTTAACAATTATAGAACGTGATTAAAACGATACAATAAAAGAGATGATTTTAGCTTCCAAAATGCGAGCTTTCCATTTCTATGTAGAAACATTCCAGCAGTGCCTGCATACGGAGTATATATCTCCAAGTTGATACGATATTCTAGGGCTTGTATTTCCTGTCATGATTTCCTTGATAGAGGGTTGCTGATCACAGGGGAGCTATTAAACCAAGAGTTCCAAGTGGTGAAGTTGAAATAATCCCTTCGTAAATTTTACGGACGTAATCACGAGTTGGTTGACCGTTAAGAATTATCCGTTTCACAGATGATAGCGGATATGTTCCTAATGTCGTAACTACAATCCTGTCCCCCTTTTTTCTCGAATGTGACCTATTGAATTAGACTTATTACCGGGTTTGTTCTAACATGAGCAACACGATGGGTGTCACATGTGGAGCAGGATCTTTTTACACTTCCGGAGCACCTGAGATCACACCCAGTTGGTGGGGTTCGTGTTGCTCAGTCTTAATTTTTCTATGTTGTGTTTTGTGTACTATTGTTTGTCTGATGGTCTTTTTCTTTTTTAGCCATGACGTTGTCAGTTTATTTTCAACTTATGAGTTTGAATGTCTCTTTCGTATCTTTCGCCCCTCTTTTACAGTAAGATCTGTTGATTGTTACCTGATTTATCATACAAAAGCTGAATGACTGGACCGGCACCTTTGTGCTGAGACGCAAACGAGATGTGGTCACTGCAATGCCAGTCTTGTGATAAAGCCACCAATGAAATGTCTGCTTTATATTCCGACCGGATATTGTTTATCACTGGTATCACCTTATCTCCTTCTGCTACCGCTAGACTTCCACCAGGTAGGAAACAGTTTTGGACATCAATAATCAATAATGCTATCTGTCTTGCAAAGGTTAAATCCAACAGCAAGAGGAATGTTAGAGCGGATAACCTAAATATATATCAGATAAAATTGAGAATGGAAACGGGGAATGTGTCAAAGAGACAACAACCTGACCAAAGAGCAGAAAACAGCCCATGGCCACCAATGGGTCTTCAACACAGCGAAAAAATCACGCACCCGGAGGCGGGCTTCAGCTGGCCCCATAAACAAAAAAGTGTACTAGTTATGCGAAAATGAACGTCACACTAAACTCAGAGACATATAAATGAACCAATATAAAAAAAAACAAAAAAACTACAAGACTTACATAGGCCAGGTGTTCATGATTTGGAACAGGCGCAAAAATTCGGCGGGGTTAAACATGTTTTGTGAGATCTAAACCCTTCCCCTATACCTCTATTCAATGTGGAATAAACAAACACACAGCAATATGTACAGTAAAATTCAGTTTAAAAAACATACTTTCACTGATATTGAAAATGTCTTTAGCTTTAACCCGTTGAGTGTCCTTTTTATTACTAAGTACTGTTTTACCATTTTATTTACAATTATTCATTCTTGCCTAAACTGAAGATGTTGAGTCCTTGAAAAATATTATGATTTTGTTAAAAAAAAAACATTAGACATACGAAAAATTATATGTTGTTGCAACCTCAAGCTTTAAGAACAAGCATGTCTTTTGCATATTTCAGTAAAGCAACAGACTTTTTGAAAAATCGTCTTGATGTGAATTAATGCGGGGAAGCTCAATCCTAACCGTATTTAAAATAAAATCATATAACACCAATTTCCATTAATCTAACATTAACTATAGCTGACTATACCAATTCTGAAATAGAATAAACAAAAAGCAAGATACGTTTCAACGATTTATACAATCATGAATACAATTATCAACACATTATAAGTTTTAAGTTAAATTGTCATAATAGAGGAAGTTATGTAAATATTTGATCATGTTTATACATATTTGTTTACATAATTGTAAACATGTAAAATAGAGAATGGCAATGGGGAACGTGTCAAAGAGACAACAACCCGACCAAAGAGTAAAAAACACAGCCGAAGGCCACCAAAGGGTCTTCAACGCAGCGAGAAAATCCCGCACCCGCGGAGGCGAACTTCAGCTGGCCCCTATGTACATATGTTTGCTTTTCCTGTACTGATTTGTTTTATATAATAAGTTTTATCAAAAATGAAAAGGGGGAATTTGAACAAACGTTTAACCTCATCACACGTTCCTGGGCCTTCCGAATGTCGGGAACAACGTCAGGGGTTGTTTACATTGTGGTACATGTATCAACCTGTCGTACATGTATCAAACTTCCGAATGTCGGGAACCACGTCAGGGGTTGTTTACATTGTCGTACATGTATCAAACTTCCGAATGTCGGGAACCACGTCAGGGGTTGTTTACATTGTCGTACATGTATCAACCTTCCGAATGTCGGGAACCACGTCAGGGGTTGTTTACATTGTCGTACATGTATCAAACTTCCGAATGTCGGGAACCACGTCAGGGGTTGTTTACATTGTGGTGCATGTATCAACCTTCCGAATGTCGGGAACCACGTCAGGGGTTGTTTACATTGTCGTACATGTATCAAACTTCCGAATGTCGGGAACCACGTCAGGGGTTGTTTACATTATCGTACATGTATCAAACTTCCGAATGTCGGGAACCACGTCAGGGGTTGTTTACATTGTGGTACATGTATCAACCTTCCGAATGTCGGGAACCACGTCAGGGGTTGTTTTCATTGTCGTACATGTATCAAACTTCCGAATTTCGGGAACCACGTCAGGAGTTGTTTACATTGTGGTGCATGTATCAATCTTCCGAATGTCGGGAACCACGTCAGGGGTTGTTTACATTGTCGTACATGTATCAAACTTCCGAATGTCGGGAACCACGTCAGGGGTTGTTTACATTATCGTACATGTATCAAACTTCCGAATGTCGGGAACCACGTCAGGGGTTGTTTACATTGTCGTACATGTATCAAACTTCCGAATGTCGGGAACCACGTCAGGGGTTGTTTACATTGTCGTACATGTATCAAACTTCCGAATGTCGGGAACCATGTCAGGGGTTGTTTACATTGTGGTACATGTATCAACCTTCCGAATGTCGGGAACCACGTCAGGGGTTGTTTACATTGTCGTACATGTATCAAACTTCCGAATGTCGGGAACCACGTCAGGAGTTGTTTACATTGTGGTGCATGTATCAACCTTCCGAATGTCGGGAACCACGTCAGGGGTTGTTTATATTGTCGTGCATGTATCAAACTTCCGAATGTCCGAAGACTGTGATGGTCTCTGTTTAATTCATTTGCAGTGTTAACGACATTAAGCTCATAATATTGCCAGTTATCAGTAACACATATTGTCGTGGGACTCAATCCTTTTTGTTGTCTTGGGGGGACTATTAGATTGAAGTCACGCTTATCGATATCTAAATTTTATTCTACTGCCATTTAACAAGCACATGTATGACAGACGACACTAACTGTTCGCCGCCGACAAACATAAAAAAAGTATACAGTCCCGTAAAATAGACATCTCTTATTATGTCGTGCCTAAGCCTGTTATAGGGTTTGTAAAAATGGGCAAGACATTCACATCAGCAAATTCAGAAACAATTGCGTGCATTTTTTTTTTTTTTTTTGCGACTTTTAAAGAATGGACAAAAAAGGCATGAATTATGTTTGCATTCAGTAAGTGCTACATGCAAACAATATTATCAAAATTAAAAATGCGAGTTAAAGACACAAATCCCGTCGCAATGACAAGAACAAAAAAGAAATTGCAAACATTTCAGAACTTACAGTTATTGAACAGACATTTGTCTTTTGTGGAGGACCGTATTTATCAACCTCTAGATACATGTAACTCTTGTCATGTTTGTGTTGAATGGTTGCTGTCTCATTGATATTTACCCCATATCGCATTTTATTCATATAACAAGAGAGAGAAGTACTTTGTTACGGAAATATTTCTGTTATATATGTGTTAAAGAAAACGGTATATAAAAAATTAGACATAGTAGTTAACGCATTTTCTACATCGAATCAATTCTTACTCAAAATTGTATAAGTTCGTACTTAAAATATTAACATTTTTCATAATACATTTCTAACGTCAAAGTCAAAGTCAAAGTCAATGATTTTCCGTCTTTTGATATGATCCAGTTTAGCAAGAATATTACATAATGTATTTGACCAAAAGTAAATAAATCCCCGTTTTAATTTAAAATCTAAGTGTTTGAATTTCATATCTCACCACTTTAGGCCAGACAAAATATTACATTTCACGCCTTAGTACAATTTAGTTACCACATGGCACATGAGGTATACGTATTTATGGCCTCTACTTTACAAGAGGGTCTGATTTTGAGGTATTCATTTCTGTGGATAGTTAATAGGCCATTTGTTCCTTTTTCACCCTTTATTCCTTATTCTTTATATTTTAGCACACCATTATTTTCTAATCTTTATATTTTAGCACACCATTATTTTCTAATCTTTATATTTTAGCACACCATTATTTTCTAATCTTTATATTTGAGCACACCATTATTTTCTAATCTTTATTTCGTTGTCCATTATTTTCACCTCCTGCGACTACCACAGTTGCCTTAGAGGCATGCAGTCCTAGTCTGACAGTATTGTGGAGGGTATCCGGTACAGGGTCCTAAATGTGGACGAGGCGCGTGTCTGGCGTAAGTATAAAATTTCAGTCCTGGTGTCTATGATGAGTTTATATTTAAAGTTGTATTGTAGCTATCCCCTAATCAGTGACTTTCCTCGTTGGCCATTGTACTAGATGTAGAACTTTGTATACGACTATGCACTGTACCATATATGATAGAGACCCGTATTGGTTTGTGTAAACAATATAATTGTATTTGAAGACATTTTTCTGAAAGTGAATAAACGGAGAGAAAAGAATAGATAATTTTCTTTTGACAAATATTTTAAGATAGTATATGAAACATAAGTAGAAATTGTATGTTCATTCACAAGTAATAACAATTGATGTAACAGACAAAAGGTTGCGATTATAGAAGGTGAAAAATAATCCATTTGTAAATAATCAAGAAATTTGATTTTTTTTTCAACAGGTTTGTCCTTGCTTATTATTTGGTTCAGAAGAAACATCTTACTTTTTGAGTTGTTAGCAGGATCAAATTTTTTAACAAGATTGATGTTGACTTTTCGAATAAAATATTGTGTGTCTTTATAGAAGAAAAAAGAAGGGGGGGGGGGGTATTTCCATGTGTTGTTCTTTCTGCCTGGTAAGTTTTTGTTGGGTCAAACTGAATAGTTTATAAGGGAAAATAGGGGGAGATGAAAAAGGTAACTAGACGCAAAAACAAATAAACTTACACGGCCTATGATAGTTTGTTTTTATTGATTTTCGTGAACATCTAGAATTGCCAACATCCATTATGTAATTTGGAATTTAAACCTTAACTTTTGAACGATATAGGTGAAAAAAAAATCCAAAATTCCAAATTTACAGTTAAAAAATAGATTCTTGCTTCCTCTACATGTGGGTTCGAAAGGGGTTTACAGAATAGAGAATGATGGGCAACAAGTGCAGAACAAAGGGGGGAAATAAAGAATAGAGAAAAAGAAACAATAGAAAATAATGGGTTGCTACAATATAAAGAAAAGAGAATTATAGGGGGGGATGAAATATCAAGAATAGAGAATGATGGGGTGCTAAAATATAAAGAATAGATTAATGGGATATAAAAATAAAGAATACAGAAAAAGGAAAAAAGAACTTAAAAAATAAAGAATAATGGAGTGCTAAAATAAAAAAAAGTATAAAATAATGCGGCGCTAAAATATAAAGAATAGAGAATAATGGGGTGCTAAAATATAAAGAATAGACTGAGAATAATGGGTTTTTTAATATTAAGAATAGAAAATAATGGGGTTCAAAAATGTACAGAATGGACTGAAAATAATTGGTTGCTAAAATATAAAGAATAGACTGAGAATAATGGGGTGCTTAATTGTACAGAATGGACTGAAAATAATGGGGTGCTAAAATATAAAGAATAGAAAATAATGTGCGATACATATAAAGAATAGAGAATGACGGGCATACAAAATGAAAGAATAAAGAAATTAAGGATCCCATCATTCCAGACCCTATACTATACACGCTATACTTGTATTAGTAATTTTCAAGTTTTTAAGCATTGAATAAAAACTATTCTGAGAAAAGTAAACATGTACAAGTATACTCTTACCAGCACGGTGATATCATAATGTCCAAATTAGTTTGTAACTAGATTATTTAACATTCTTCTGATTTGTGGATGTATGTATCGTATACACTTAATTTCTCGGAGGCTCCCGCAGGTAAATTTGATAACGTGGAAATAGTAATAAATATCTTGTACGGAGAGGAATTACATAATACTTAAAGCCATTCACAGCTGAAGGACAAAGTGGAATTTTTAAATTGACTTGTCATGTCTATGGCTATGTTTTAAAATCTTTCAGTTGATTAAAAGATATCAGTCGATCAATGTCAATATAACGCGTGTTTACACAGTTCAGATTTATTAAAACGAAATTTAGAACGTTCCTACAATGCACTGTATTTAATTTCTAATTAAATAGTCATCATTGATTTTTTTCATATTTTGCATGATTGCTCCTCCTCCTCCTCCTCCTCCTCCTCCTCCGCAACAGCAGCAGCAGCAGCAGCAGCATGTACGAAAGCCGTTTTTATTCCTTTTCTTCCATTAACTCCCTCAAAACATGTCCATTAAACGATAATACGCCCCCCCCCCCCCCCCCCCCCGAATGTATCTTGTTCGAAAAAAAAACGAAAAACCATTTAACATTAAATTAACCAGTTCTTCACTATTAGTGTGAATCCAGGTCGACATCTTGACTGTAAAAGCAATAAATGCGTGTCCGATAAAGATATGTTTACAGTAATCGGACCTAAAATCATTCATCACTTTATCGGACTCGTATCTAAAACTATCCTCCTGTAGTCGCACAATCCATACGCTGATAATATTTTATCTGTAAACATGTGTTAATAACATTCCCTGTTGTGTAAATTAATTAGTGCAAGCTTAAGGTATTTGAAATCTGATAATTATCGAGTGATTTGTGTATTTGATGTCCAGAAGATGTCAAGCCGATTCGTAAGTATCCATTTCTTACATTTTAAGCGTTGAGATAATAATAATAATAATGATAATAGTAACAAGAATAATAAAAATAATATCGGTAGAAATAGTGATAATTAATAGTTTATTATTATTTTTAAAAGGGATATTGAAAAAGCTAAAGCTGTATCGACGACGTGAAGACGATTCAGTAGAAACTATCGTTCAAGCAATTTTAGAAGATAGAGAAGTACACGGATTTATAGGCGGCTATAGAACGACATGGAAACGTCTCAAGACCCTCTATAAGATAAATGTGAAAAGAGAAACAGTAATGCGGGCATTGCGAGTCATAGAACCCGAATCTGTTCAAATGAGACAAAAACATAGACTTCAGAGAAGACAATACATCAATTTGGGTTTAAACTTCCTTTGGCACATTGATGGATATGACAAACTAAAACCTTATGGGTTTGCTATACTCGGCTGTATCGATGGGTATTCGAGACGAATTTTATGGCTCGAGGTAGGACCCTCAATTAATAACCCTAATGTTATTGCATCATATTACTAACAATGTCTTAAAAGACTGAATGTAACTGCAAGACTCATCAGGACAGACCGTGGTACAGAAAACAGTTTAGTGGAAGTTTTGCAAACGTATTTCAGGTTCAGTGACGATGATACAGCGTCAAGGTTCAAAAGTTTTATATATGGAAAGAGTAGTAGTAACGAACGGATAGAAACTTGGTGAAGTATTCTCAGGAAACAATTTCGGATTGGTGGATATGTTTCTTCAAAGACATTAGAGATAGGGGAATTTATGATGAAAATGAACCAGACCCAAGCTAGCGAACAACAAGCCAGCGAACAATAAGGTGTATCAAGCTAGCGAACAATAAGGCAGCGAACAATAAGAAATACGCAACAAACTGATCATGCCTGAAAACCGAAGACTTGCATTAACATGAAACGTTCTTTGAAATCTGATGACAATCATTTCCAGTATAGGAAGACGAAATGCAATATATTTTCACAAAGACTATTTATTGAAAACTGTTTATTTATTTATTTATTTATATATTCAAGACAATATAATTGTTCTTGACCACAGGGCATCTCTTATAGAATTTTCAACATTCCTTTTAGATTCTCCTCTCCCTTTTCTGATTACATTTGAGTAGAAACGGTTTGTCCTTATAATCGTGATAATAGTGAATAAATAATAAAAATAGACCATTCTTAACTAGTGTAAAGATGAAATTAAATCCACATGCTTATATGCTTTTTAAAAGAAAACAATATACCGATTTTGGAACGTAAAATACAGAATTCTGCAGTCAGAATTATAAGTTGAAATAAAAGATAATAAATATCAAGTTTTCGTTAGGAATGATTGAAAACTTTACATTTCAATAGGAAATGTGTTTTATGTGACAATGACACATGTGACACGATATATGAATGGATATAAAGATTTTAGCTACTTTAACAGACAAATTTTTCAAATCAAAGCTTTTCAAGAAGGCATATTTAAAAATACTCGGGGAACAGACGGAAAACCCGAAATCAGAAGAACAATTTCTTTACACTGATTTAAATTAACAAGAAAAGAATGCAATCACAACAATACGAACTATTTCATTTTAACATTGCATTGTAATTATAATCGGGGAAACGGTCCAAAGTTGGGGTATGGTGACCCATAGATGTACATCTATGGGTGACCCTACCCCCTCCGACTTTAATTCATAAAAACGTCCCTACGGCAAAGCTTTTGTCTACACTAGGTACAAATGATAGGCAATTGCCTAAGGTTCAAGGTTTGTGTAAACAATATAATTGTATTTGAAGACATTTTTCTGAAAGTGAATAAACGGAGAGAAAAGAATAGATAATTTTCTTTTGACAAATATTTTAAGATAGTATATGAAACATAAGTAGAAATTGTATGTTCATTCACAAGTAATAACAATTGATGTAACAGTAGGACAAAAGGTTGCGATTAAAGAAGGTGAAACATAATCCATTTGTAAATAATCAAGAAATTTGATTGTTTTTTTCAACAGGTTTATTCTTGATTATTATTTAGTTCAGAAGAAACATCTTACTTTTTGAGTTGTTAACAGGATCAAATTTTTTAACAAGATTGATGTTGACTTTTCGAATAAAAGATTGTGTGTCTTTATAGGGAAAAAAAGGGGGGCTTATTTCCATGTGTTGTTCTTTCTGGCTGGTAAGTTTTTGTTGGGTCAAACTGAATAGTTTATAAGGGGGAAGGGGGATGTAAAAGCTAACTAGACGCAAAAAGAAATAAACTGACACGGCCTATGATAGTTTGTTTTTATTGATTTTCGTGAACATCTAGAATCGCCAACATCCATTATGTAATTTGGAATTTAAACCTTAACTTTTTAACGATATAGGTGAACAAAAATCCAAAATTCCAAATTTCCAGTTCAAAAATAGAATCTTGCTTCCTCTACATGTGGGTTCGGAAGGGATTTACAGAATAGAGAATGAGGGGCAATAAGTGCAGAATAAAGGGGGGAAATAAACAATAGAGAAAAATAAACAATAGAAAATAATGGGTTGCTACAATATAAAGAATAGAGAATGATGGGGTCCTTAATTATATAACTTAAGAATAGATTAATGGGCAATAAAAATAAAGAGTTGAGAAAAAGGAAAAAAGAACTTAAAAAATTAAGAGTGCTAAAATATAAAAAAAGTATAAAATAATGCGGTGCTAAAATATAAAGAATAGAGAATAATGGGGTGCTAAAATATAAAGAATAGACTGAGAATAATGGGGTGATAAGATATAAAGAATAGAAAATAATGGGGTGCTAAAATGTACAGAATGGACTGAAAATTATGGGGTGCTATAAAATATAAAGAATAAACTGAGAATAATGGGGTGCTTAATTGTACAGAATGGATTGAAAATAATGGGGTGCTACAATATAAAGAATACAAAATAATGTGCGATACATATAAAGAATAGAGAATGATAAGTAAAAAAATGAAAGAATACAGAAATTAAGGATCCCATCATTCCAGACCCTACTATACTTGTATTAATAATTTTCAAGTTTTTAAGCATTGAATAAAAACTATTCTGAAAAAAAGTAAACATGTTCAAGTATACTCTTACCAGCACGGTGATATCATAGTGTCCAAATTATTCTGTAACTAGATAATTTAACATTCTTCTGATTTGAGGATGTATGTATCGTATACACTTCATTTCTCGGAGGCTCCCGCAGGTAAATTTGTGTGTTAATCTGATTACGTGGAAATAGTAATAGATATCTTGTACGGAGAGGAATTACATAATACTTAAAGTCATTCACAACTGAAGGGCGAAGTGAAATTCTTAAATTGACTTAATTGTCATGTCTATGGCTATGTTTTAAAATCTTTCAGTTTATTAAAAGATATAAGTCGATCAATGTCAATATAACGCGTGTTTGCACAGTTCAGATTTATTAAAACGAAATTTAGAACGTTCCTACAATGCACTGTATTTAATTTCTAATTAAATAGTCATCATTGATTTTTTTCATATTTTGCATGATTGCTCCTCCTCCTCCTCCTCCTCCTCCTCCTCCTCCTCCTCCTCCTCCTCCTCAGCAGCAGCAGCAGCAGCAGCAGCAGCAGCAGCAGCAGCAGCAGCAGCAGCAGCAGCAGCAGCAGCATGTATTATTCTACCATAACTAAAATCTAATGATATTACTATTAATTATTAACATTATTGTTGCTATTTTGATTTAGGACTGACTTTTTTATGTGCATGTTTTATGTTGCTGTTGCATTAGAACTGTATGCTTGTATTTGTTTGAGGGCCCAATGAAATTCAGACAAGACTTTTATCCTATCCAGTTAATTTCTGATATATATTTAGAACAATTATACATGTACTTAGACAGCAACTTTACGAGAAAAACAATGAATAAATATCTGTTACACCACTGTCTAAGGTTAGTGGAGGGTTAAGCGCTCGAAATCATGTTTAACCCTGTAACATTTTGTATGTACCTGTTCAAAACCAGGAGCCTGTAATTCAGCGGTTGTAGTCGGACAATATCAGATGCTGTCTATCGTATTTATTTATCTTTTCTGTTATGTTCATAAATATGGCCTTTGGTTTTCTCGTTTGAAATGTTTTAAATTTTGTCCTGTCGGGACATTTTATAACTAACTATACGGTATGCTTTTTGCTCATTTTGAAGGCCATACGGTGACCCATAGTTTTTTTAAATATACGTCAATTGGTGTCTTGATCAAATCGTAACCACTGGAATCAAATAAGAAATTAAAAGTTTTAATATGTGTGTGATTTTAATCAATCCACCTGTGGACGAATACAGTGTGGTTAAGTAACGTATAATGAAATAGGAAGATGTGTTTGATTGCCAATGAGACAACTACAAACCAAAAACCAAAGTGTGAAAATAGCATGAAAATTAGAGAAATATCGTATCACTTAGGAAATTCAGAGGAAAGCGAGAAAATTTGACTTCATAATTGAATTTGACCAATTAAGAACTGAGATCAAACGAACTACACGTTGATAAAATAGAAATAATCAACAGGTCAGGAAAAGGATAAATCGGGTAAGATAGAATTAGAGAAATAAAAATATATATGCTCGTTGGTATCAATGTTTGTGGTTTAAGAAAATATGTTAATTCGAGGGTGATTTATTTTGTGTTTCAAAGTTTTGTAATTTGCTCCTGTCAAAATAAAAGTAACTCATATTTTGTCGAGTATGTTAATCCATGGTCTCTTCTTTTCCCAAAACATTTACGAACAAAGTGTATCCCATGAATATCAATGAATGCACATTTCTTTTTCAATCTAACTTTGGGAACGTCACAAAATATAACTGCACATAATTATCCGTATTCAATTTATTACGCTTCAATATTAAATTTAAAGCGTTGTACACGTACCTTATAGGATAATTTGCACGAGACATACCAATTCAATTCTAATATACAGGGGCGGATCCAGCCATTTTAAAAAAGGGGGGGGGGGGGGTGTTCTAACCCAGGAGAAAGGGGGGTTCTAACCATATGTACCCATTCAAATGCATTGATCGGCCAAGAATAAGGAGGGGGTTCCAACCCCCGGAAACTCCCCCCCCCCCCTCCCCCCCCTGGATCCGCCACTGATATACCTGTAAAATTTATTATTTTTCTTATATGATTTGCATATTAGGGAATACGTTAATATGATTGGTCGAGAGGGGTTCCGGTAGTGGCTCTTAAAGTAATTTATTTTCCGATAGACGACGTTGACTGAACTACTTTTTGTAACCAATGTAAACAAGATGGCGGCGATAATAAGCTCGACGATAAAAATATTTATTAATATTTTCACTTCGGATTAATCGTTTAATAAAATAATAAACACAAAATATTCATTTGAATGATAATAAGATATTGATTTATTTATTTTCTCCATAAAAAAATAAATGTTACTCACGCGCTTGAGACCATCGGCCACTGTTGACAAACAATGGAACCGGAGGTTATCTGTTTCAAGGATTTGTATAGTCTTACTATTCAAATCCTTGTCTGTTCCGACTCGGAGCTGGAAAATCTGTCACCACCACCTGTTATATTTGAACTGCAGCTTCCTGATGATTGGGATACTGAAGCAGTCGTCGAGCTTCTTGAGGTTTTGAAGCAAATTGTTCCTGGCTGTTGAAGCTTGTCAAACCATCGAAACACATGAGATAACCAAGGAACCTGTAAATCCTCCTAAAATCCAGAATGATGAGAACCATATATTACCTCAAAATCAGAAAGGTCAGAACCCTGAAACAAATCAAAACCAAAACACTCAGCACACTGTAACACCTCAAGACCAGAATACTCAGTATTTAGACACTGCTGAAACACCTCAGGCTGAATTTCACCAAAGTGGTCACCCACCAAACAAAAGCAGATTTAAGCAACTTGACGAGGAAGCCCTCTTAGACATAGAGAAAAAACAGTACAGTGCAGCTACTAAAAAACACAAAGAGGGGAATAGGAGTTTTCAATGATAATTAATCTATGTTAATATAAATTTGCTCCAATGTTAACATTTCCACCAAATCTACCCAAGTAATAAACAGATTTTACATACAAATAAAAATCAAAAATGGCCATTTCAAGGAAATGAGTGGATTAAACACCAATTCTTCACAATTATTAATAACCAAGAAACCACACATTCAATAAACTAAAGCAAACAACAAAATAGATAGTTTCCTACATGTATATATGTATCAATATTTATAATGTACCACAAATATATTACAAATAAAATCTTGTAAAATTTTCCCAAAAATAAAAGTCATAAATTAGAAATAAAGAAAAGGGATCGAATCATAGAATGAACTACTGTGCTAGCATGGAATCATGTTTATTTTTGAAATAGTGATGAAGTCAATGAAACTGGCCTAGCATGTACTCAATATGTGCCAGATTCACATTAATTCCTAAAATTGTAGAAATTTCCTTTTCAGCTTGGTGTTCAGAAAGATTACAAAAAACTTAGGACTGTAACATAATTTCTAAGGAGAACCTGAATTAAAGCCTTCGCAAATTTTATGCTGAAGCCAAGCCCAAAAATTTAAATAAAAGGAACAAAAGTGCTTGAAGGTATGGCGCAGGAATATCATAAAAATCCCTTAAGAGTGTACGTGCTGCAATTAATAGACACCTGAAGGACATTGGTCGCAACATTGACATTGTTCGAGACAAAGACTTTAAGTTAGAAAATTCAATGCTTAGTGCTTAGCTTAAATTCAACCTTCATAATGGGCTGTCCCGTCCGACTCAGCATCATCCTATTATTTCTAACTCTGAGTTACAGAAAATAAATGAGTTCCTTTCTACAAAGAATAATGTTGTCGCACTTCGATTTAAAGTCTGCTATGTCCTTGCAATACACTTTGTTAGTCATGGAATTGAATTTCACCAACAGTTTTCAAAGAATTCAATTAAATTTGTAAAAGATGAGGAAGGGAGAGAAGACCTTACAATCACACATGAGACACACCAGAAAAACTACCAAGGTGGTATAGAAGACTCATTAGAAGAAGCCGAAGACAAAAGAATATACTCAACGGACTCAGATTCATGTCCCGTCCAAGCCGTTAAACATTTTTTGTCAAAATGTCATGCAAATTCAAACAGTTTGTTCAATCAGTGTAGTCATGATACACTTCGTGGCAATCCAAATCATTATTCAGTTTGGTACACTGAGACACCAGTGAAAGTTAAAGCATTTACAGCTTTTATGCCGAATATCTGCAAAAACGCCGGGGTAAAACGGTACACAGCACATTCTTTACGTTCAACAGCAATAACCGCAATGAGTGATGCTGGGCTAACAGACAGAAATATTATGTACAGTCATGTCTGATCACAAATGTGAGGAAAGCCTCAAGTCCTATTGTAGAAGACCTAGCAATGAACAAAAACATAGAATCAATGCCGTCCTTGATAATGTTGCCACCGGTTCCGCAAAGTCAACTTCTCTTGTGCCAATTAAAAACACACAAATTCAAGCACCAACAATTCAGCAACCAAACGACACAAATAATGAATAAAAATCTGTTACACCACTGTCCAAGTTTTTGATAGCCTAAAATATTAATCTGGAATCAGTACATACAAATATATACTTTAAATTAGGGAAGTTATTAAAATCAGAGACATATAATACATGTATTATATGTCTCTGTTAAAATGAAGTGATTGCACAAGACAGTCATGACAGTTGACAATTACAAACATAGTGACACCATTTATACAACCAAATTTTATTGTTGAAATATATAAACTAAAATCTTAAAATGACGATGTAAATCATTGCAATGTTGTTTTTTTTTTTTTTTTTTTTTTTTTTTTTTTCAAATGTTTTAATGTTTGTTAGTCATTTACTTCAAATAATTGACACGTACTAAAATAAGGAGATGTGGTACGATTGCCAATGAGATAACAGTCTGATAACTATCCACCAGAGTCCAAATATTGTGGCTGTTAGCAGTTATAAGTCACACTACAGACATTAACAATGAACAAAACCGGTTCATTGTTTTCAGACAGCATAGGGAAAAGAGGAGTCGTGGCTTGGTGGCTTACAAGAAAATATAAGAGATATAAGAAAATATAAATAAGAAAATAAGAGAGACAAAAAAAAACAGGACTTAGCCATTGGACAAAATTTTTTTAAAAAAAGTGCTCCCTTACTAATCCTT